AATCAGCTTATCAGCATATTATTCAATAAGTTGTAGCTTCCCTAGACAGACTTTTCTTGAGCTACAACGTTTGTTGCACGAATTAAAAAAAAAAAATTAATAGATTAGAGACAGATAAGTAGGGTTAGGAGGGTTCATAGATAGAAGACCGAAGGCCGGTCATCGAAGGATGAAGAGACTTGATTGATCAAGCGTTGGAAGTCTGGATCAGGGCACGGAATTGACATAACGCAGGTTGTCTGAACCAAAGAGCAAGATACATAAGCCACATAAGCCGAGAGAAAGCACCGGTCCAGCTCTCGCCCCAACATTGTGAATCATCTCATATGTGACTCCAAGGCTCTTGCTCAGAAGACTGGGGGTTCATCACGATATACTCCAAGAGCATTCGAAGAATTTATCATATTTCATTTTAAAAATGGTCCATATAATTAGAAGTATGACCATGGTTTCAAAGTTGGAGGTAGTTAATAGAGTTGATTTGAGCGATGATAAAATGTCATGGATGCATTTAGATGCATGCCACTCAATTCCTAAGTATTTATTTATCTAACACCTAGATTTTATTTTTCATGTTTATACCACCAATCTTTCTCTCATAACGCGTGAAATATATATATATATATATATATATTTCTAGCTTTAAAAAGTGAAATATATCTTGTTTTATGTATAACTAAGGTATTATTGCACGTAAAAATTGAATTTTAAGTGTTAGATATGTAAATACACATGAATTGAGCGGTATGTATGTAAATTTACAAAATAATATATTTAAATATATTACAATGTTAACAAAATATCGAATTATATTAAATACGCTGTCCTGCAAAGTGATACATAAGAAACTCATTCAAATTTTCTTGGGATAATTACATAAAGACTATCCAAAATATTGAAATTTACAAATTAACCACCTATATGATTATTTGAAAAGTTCGACGCTCCAAGATAACGAGGATTTATCATGATTTTTGATATTTGAATGAGAATGTTAAAAAAATGGATGAAAGTAAATTTGTAAAAACCAAGTTTTCGATGATTTGTATGTTGTTGCCCAAATTTTAAATTTGACCCAAAAAAGAAAAAAAAAATTGTGTTGGAAACTGCAAGTCCAGGGAAAAATATTACATTAGGACTCCTGACGTAGAGCTAAGTTCGGATTGGAACATTCGGTTGTGTTACGGTAATATTTCATCTGCGTTATTTGTACAAATGATGTGTTATTCATGTCTGCGTTATTTGTAAAAATGATGTGTTATTCGAGTATTATATGATGTTATTCGATTATTTTACGGTGTTATTGAAATATTCTATCGCGTTACTTGATTTGGGGTTGAAGTGTTATTGAAATATTCCCTCGCATTTGTGTTATTCCAATAACATAGTGGAAATTGAAATAACATGGGGAATATGTCGAATAACATAGCCTCAAATCAAGTAACGTGATGAAATATTCCAATAACACTGTAAAATAAACAAATAACATCATATAATAATCGAATAACACATAATTTTTATAAATAACACAGATGAAATATTCTCGTAACACAGACGATAATGCTAATCTGAACGTAGCTCTTCATTAGGAGTTCTGATGTAATATTTTTCCCAACTTCAGACAGCAACAACCGGGCAACACGTCGTCATACACATCGGTGCAAAGTAACGTGGTGCCCGTCGGTTGACCGTCGGGACATGCGGACGAAGAGACGTAAAATTTGATGAGTGCGCCTTACATGAACACAGCTCTATTGAAGTCATTTGTGGCGCCATGCGGGTCGGGGTTATATGCCTCCCGGACCTTTGCCCGAGATGCGTTCGCGCGCTTCTGCCAGTAATCATCAAACTCCGCAATGTCTGCTCCAACGCCCGCCGCGAACAAGATGGCCGCAATGAAAATAAGCAATCTCTGCACTACGCCCACCATTCTTCTTCTTCTTCTTCTTACTACTTCTGCATAAAGTTCCTACTTTGGCCGAGCGAGCCTGGAAGAACCCTGATCTGAGGAACATTGATAAGTTGGCTTTGTAATTTGTTTTATGGGCCTGGGGGAATGAATGGAACTATAGGACAGTTATGGGACCGAGGAGGAAGAAACAGAACAGGGGAAGGAGGCCGCCAATGGTGGCCAGCCATTGCCAACTCCGCATTAGGAGATATGAGCTTTGGCTGCATATCTGGCTCTTATCTATCTCTGTTAATTTTATTGTTCTAGTAGCCGGGAAAATAGAGCGTTTTGTAATGTTTGTTTGATTTTGAGGGAAATATTTTACCAACAATAAAACGGTTTTTGTTAAGGTTGGTTTCATGTGATTGTAATGGAGGATTGGAGTTGGTTGTTTGAATTTTAAGAATATAAAAATAATGTAGAAAGTATTCCGTCCAGATACCCTGTATGACAAAGTAGTCGGTGGTTGGCTGTCTGGACGTGCAGATGTTAGATGAAATATTTTTTCAAAATAATGAAATTTTTTAGATCTGTTGTTTAATTTTAGGTTTGATGACTAATTAATATTGAATCTAAGTTCAAAAAGAGGGGAGCAAAATCTTTTAATTATAGAAATTGGGTTTTAAGACAGAAATAAATAAAATTAGAAGTGTTATATTTTAATATTTCTTTTTGCATGAAATCAAAATACTAAAAAAAGCTTAATTCATTGTAGGTTTTCATTTGGGCTTTTTGAAAGATGATGGCAATGAATTTATTGAAATAACATATAGTGAATTGTAGTAAACAACTTGGAACTATTTTTATAATGTAGAATGGAATGAACGGCGGGAGCGTGTTTTTGATTTTGGAGTCGCGAGGTTTTGTAATTATCATTTTATGATTCTATTTTCCAAATAGTCATCTTTCTTAAACCGTCGAAACAATTTCAAGACGATGAGGGATCAAAAAATGAGAAAATAAGACAAAAAAACTAGACAAATAAATTTAATTCAAAAGAAACGTTCAAGTAAGATCGGATCAAGACACCTTGAAATCATATCCACGAAGAAGTCTCCTATATAAGCAATCCATAGCCAGAGAACCAAAATCTTATATTTCATTCTGGGGTCAAGAGCAACTCCCAAAGTAATGTGTTTTTTGGACTAATTACATTTTAGAGAATATCCAAAAATACTTTCGATAATAGATGACTTGCTAACATTAACGTGATATCTAGTAAAATGGGTGTCAAAAGAATGGTTATCTCGAATAAGAGCATATAGATGCTTTCATGGCTCTTGCAAATCCATAAGGGTGGAAAATCCCATATGGGAGGCGGCTAATCAACAAATAGGACCTATGAAATAATCTGGTCGTCTCAATAAGGTCTACACTATGCTTCAAGGCCTAATCAGATCATATGAGCAGAGGGTTAATCACTATATCCCAAATGGGTAATAGCCTATCGACAATCGAGGCCTACTAAATGATCTAGGGGGTGAAAATCCTATTTCCATTTTTGGATCAAAATCTATTAGAGAAACGGCTAAGTGGCACCGATCTAATGGATTGCTGCAGATGAGCGTGGCTAAGCATGTTGGCATCGTGGAGAGCGGGATTTTGGAGAGTTTCTTGAGAAGTTTTGGATTTTTTGATGAGGGATTTCTTCCCTTTTCTCCTTCTTCTACTTCACCATCTCTGTTTTTTTCATTCTTCTTCTTCCCGACCATCTCATGGATCACCAATCCAGTCTGAGGAGAATTGTGGGAGCCTGAGAAGAGTTGTGAGGAGCTGGTGGAGGGATTTTGGAGAGATTCTTGAGTGCTTTGAGAGTTCTTCCCCTTCCTTCTTCTTCCATAATCCTCTCTTCACTTCTATCTTCCGTTTTCTTCTTCTTCTTCCCCTCTTTTTGCTTTTCTGACCACCACTTAGCCAAATAAAAAAGGAGGGATTTCTTGTGTCCTTCCTCGTCGATATCTCCTCATTGAAGAGAACTTCTTCATACTTTGGAGAAGGGCCTTTGTCGGAGTTTGTGACATCGTCAGAATCTCCTTGTCAGGAGAGCTTCATCATTCTTAAGAGAAAAGCATGGACGTCTTCTCTCTTTTGTAGGAGAGCTTCTTCTCAGACGTTGTCGAACACAAAGCAACATTTACTTTGGTGAGATTCTAAAAAAGATTTGTATTTTATTTCTCAATTAGCCCTTGGGATAGATTTCGCTATGTGTTGTGGGTTTGATCGTCCGCTTGAGGCAGGTTTGACCACCCACCTAGTATCGTCCTATTCCATCAATCGCCTGTTATCAAACGATCTGATGGCCTGAGCAATACCGGTCTGCCCTGTCATACGCCTTTTCATTACCGAGTTCTGTGGTGTCGTGATGGGTTTTGGTCGCCCGCACTAAACAAGTTAGTCGGACTACACTAGTCGGCATGGTCATACACTTATTGATGGGTTAATTTTATCTTAGGGAAAGCCTTACGTTATAACTTTACATTCATGGTCAAATCTATAGCAAAGCCAAGAGTGTTTCCTTGCAAGCCTTAGCTCCAACCTAAGCAGGTTGGAATCCCAATTTCCCATTACTTTAGTGGTATCCGATCTTCTGTCGAGGGATCAGAACATTGCACTTGCAAAATAGGAAAAGCTTCATAGCTAGTTTGTTTTGCAAGTGGTGGATAATTGTTCCTCCAAGCAAAAGAGAGGGAAAATCTCCACACACGTTCGATATAGTTGGAGGCGGCTATGCCGCATATCCACGTGGTACCTATCCGAGATCAATAAGATGAGTTCGACGTGTCGTCAATGTATGTTGGGTTGCATTGCTTGCGTGCTCATTTGTGACATTTTGCATATTGTATGCTTGATCGCATGAGTACTTTGAAATTAGTCCATTAACACACCTACTAGAGGTTTGACCTCACACAAAAGGATAAATTCCTAAAGAACTCCTAAACCTCTCTATTT